TGGACACAGGGTTTCATCCCTGACCTTCTGCTTTTCTTTCTCTGTAAATTTCATGAATGGCCTTATCTAAGTCTTCAGCTTCAACTAAAATATTGATGACTCCAAATTCTATCTCTAGGATCAACCCCACTCCCAAATTCCAGGCCCTTGTCCCAGTTGCCTATTGAAAAACTTACCAAATTTTTTTCATTAAATAAGAAAAGAATACTAGCATACAAAATTGTCCCTACTCCAATTCTTCTTCTTCTTTTTTTTTTTTTGTCTTAGTGAATGGTACCATTGTCCATCTAGTTGCCCAAATAAGAAATTCTAGGCAGTTACCTTTTCACTCAAAGAGTGCCCTAAGTTCTACCTCTTTGAGCCCTGTTCTGTTTTCTGTTGTATCTTTAGTTCCTAGAATGTTTTCTGTCACATAGTAAGAATTCAGCAAATATTTAGTGAGTGAAAAAACAAAGAGAACAAACAGCCATTGGCTCCATAAGAAAGATGGTTAATTCAGGGAATGGACAAGAACTTAAAAAACATTTTTAAAATAAGTATATTTGGTGAAACATTCATGAGAAACTTCTCCATTAAGGAAGGACAGGCAGCTATGGGAAAGGAACAGCCTAAGGGAAAGAACAATATCTTGGAAGTAACAATAACAACAACAACAACAAAAAAAACACCAATGGGCAGGCTGAATAATAAAACTTTCACAGCTGAAGACCCAATTAATAATCTGGAAGATTTGGGCACCTGGGTGGCTCAGTTAGTTAAGTGTCTGACTCTTGATTTCGGCTCAGGTCATGATCTCAGGGTTGTGGGATCGAGCCCCACATTGGGCTGCGTGCTTAGCACTGAGTCTGCTTAAGATTCTCTCTCTCCCTCTCCCTCTGCCCTTCCCGCCTCACGCTCTCTCTCTCTCTCTCCCTCAAATAAATAAATAAATAAATCTTTAAAAAAATAATCTGGAAGATTAAGTGAACAACAGAGTCTCTTAGAACATAGTGTAAAATGGCAGACAGAAATTATGAGAAAAGTTAAAATATGAAGGATGGATCCAAGGGGTCTAATACCTTTCTAATAGAGTTTTCAGGAAGCAAGACAGGTACAATGGAAGTAAGACAGCAATAAAAGAAATAAAATAAAATTTCCATAAACTAAAGCAAAGGAATATTAAGATTCAGATGGAAAGGCCCATCAAGTGCTAAACAGGATTGAAATGAAAAGCAGAGTATCTGTTGTATTTTATGAAATCTCAGATGACAGTGGTTAAGACACATCTTTATTTTATGTACCACGAGCAAGGCAAAACTGCTGCCTATTAAATTATGATGTGCACACAGTTGTAAGGCACCTCAATTTCAAAGATGTTAAAACACTGAGTGGGACACAGAATATGTCTTAGAATTGATGAAAACAGCAGGTACATTCTGGTGAAATTTTAGGTCTCTAAAAATAAAGAAGAGGAAAAAGACAGTTTATCTATAATGGAACAAAAAAAGGAAACTAATTTTCTCATCAGCATCACTGGTTGCTACAAGCAAATAAAGCAAAGTTTTCAAAAGGAAAAAAAATTGAATCCTAGTTCTTATATCCAACTAAAGTCTCAACTGAGTATGGAAGAGAAATAAAGATATTTTTGAACGTGTGAAAACTCAAAAAGTTTGTTATATGTGGAACCTGTTTAAAGAAATTATTCAAGAAACACTCTAACCAAACATGGAAAGAATCCAATATGCAGGATGATAAGGACCAAGAAGAAGGAGAAAGGAAATGTGACTCAGAAGTAAAGGGAGCTAGAAAATGACAAGTTGTAACATTAGGGGTGCCTGGGTGGATCAGTCGGTTAAGTGTCTGCCTTCGGTTCAGGTCATGATCCCGGGGTCCTGGGATCGAGCCCCGCATAGGGCTCCCTGCTCAGCAGGGAGCCTGCTTGTCACTTTCTCTCTTCATGCCGCTCCGCTCACTCTCTCAACCTGTCAAATAAACAAATAAGATCTTAAGAAAAAAAAGTTGTAACTTTACAGCAGCCCTGAGAAGAGTCTCCTTTTAGTAGCAAAGCTTAGTTACAGGTTTACCTTGTCTTCCCTGTGGAGCCAATTACACTTCTTGGTCTTGCAGTAAATAATGTTTGCAGAAACACATTTCACTTTTTAGATTCAGGCTGTAGATAAAGCGTGGGGCACTTAATTAGAGTTTGAGAACAATCCTATAGACATTAACAATGTAAAAATAACAGTCCTTCCCAAAACTGGGAGGTGGAGAGAGTGAAGACTGTTAGGGGGAAAAAAAGACTAAATAACTTTCCCATCTTTCACAGCAGGGAATTAACAAATCAAAATATAGAAGTTTACATATTTTGAAATGATAATAAAGGCAACTATGATGTGAGTTAAACATCTGCAAATTAAAAAAAAACCCCAGGCATGTGAGGGAGAGAGAGAGAGAGAAGGCAGAAGATAATGTGAATGCTTTAAATTCTGAATCTTTATTTGTGGAGAAGCCCAAATCAATAAAAGCTGTTATTTATTTATAATAATGATGAGAAAAATGAAAACAAAACACGATGAGCAAACAAAACCTTAACTTCTGGGAAGTGAGAATCTCAGGTTCGGGTATGCTATTTGCAGTTCATTTAAAAAATGCATGTATTATCTATTATGAAAAATCTAAAATAATATGAGGGGCGCCTGGGTGGCTCAGTCGGTTGAGTGCCGACTCTTGATTTCGGCTCAGGTCCTGATCTCAGGGTCATAGGATTGAGCCCCTACTGGGGCTCATACGCAGCATGGAGTCTGCTTGAAATTCTCTCCCTCTTCCTCCCCCCAGTCCTCCCCCACTTGCACATGCACCTTTCTCTAATAATAAAGAAAGAAAATCTTTACAAAAAGCGAAAGTAATATGAATGAAGAAGTCAATAGGTAGTATATAGAAGTAAACGGTAATATATGTTAACTGTCCATCACATAATAGGCACTCAATAAACTATAGCTTTTAGGGCTGTTGCTACAAATTTTGTTATCTTTTATTTGTGGCAGCTGATGTTGGCAGGGTTCTCTCTGTTCCCTCAGATATGAATAAAACTGGTTCAAACCCACATTCTGTGCTTTGTGGCAGCCTAGAGCATGCCCTGGGTTTTCTGCAGATGCCCACGGCATCGTCTGGTGGTTGTCGCCGTGTCTAGCTCCTTCTTCCACTGAACTAAGTCAGTTTCTGAGTTTCACTGTGCTCTGTTTCCCATCCCAGTTCCCATTTTGTTTAATCAGACCTTGAATTTCATCCAAGTATGCAATGTCTATTAAAACAACCCACTCGCAGGACCCCTTTGTATATGTAAATTTGAGGAGGTTGAAGAAGGTAAGTGACAGGGACCAGGTATCACCAAGATGCCATTTCAAATTAAATAGTGGCCATCACCCCTGGACACCAGTCACCCACAATGTCACCAGACGCTAGCACCACCAAGCCTTGTGGCCTTGCCTGGCCATTCTCTCTCTCTCTCTCACACACACACACTCTCTTTCCTCTTCCCAGTCCTTCTAATTACTCAGGGGAAGTTAGCTCTAAGTTCCTTTTACTCTCTTCTGCAGAACTCTCTAGTTCCTTTTCCCGGACCTGGCTCTAGACTTTCCTGGGTGGAGCCCACCTCACCAAGATGGACAACAGATTCAGGGCCTTTTGGGTCACAGAACCCACCAGAGAGGTAGTGGTAGTAATAAGGAGCACCTTTTTCTGTCTTTTGTGTAGGAACACAGAGATAGCTAAACAAGCAGATTTTTATATTCAGTATGCTTTCTCACTGCCATCTGCTCTTAACATCAGAGAGATAACACTAGTGAAAAGTCATTATAATTATCATTTCAATCATGTAAATCATCATTTAAAATAAAGTTTCCTTAAAGGTTATCACTACACTAATAACTGCCTACTTCATTAAAAAAAAAAAAGTATAATAGTAAAATTTGGCCAACATAGGAGTGCAGAGAGATGCACTTTAAAAAGATGGTAGTGGGAAAGTTGGTTTTAACGGACTGTGATTGTCCAGTTGCAAAGGCAATGTACAAAAGCCCTGGGCTTTATACATTAGGGAAGGCAGACAAGACCCCTGCGGGACTATGGTTGGCATATTCTAAGACTCAGTTGCCTGTCTCTAAGCTGCAGAAAAACTACATCTTTATGCACTGATTTGAAATGTTATATTTACATTGGTTTATTTTCACACCAGGTGAGGCATGCAAAACCAGCTGCGGTACACGAAGAAAGGGTGAAATTGTCAGTGGCTAAGGTATAATAATGACTAATATGACCAGTACTATTAACATGCTTATTGTTTATATTGATCCTGGCTAATCTTAAAAAGTGGCAATGACTTTGAAAGCTACACCGAGAGTGGGTCTCATGAAGAGACAAAGACCTGATTCACACTGTAGTCTGATTCTGGGGTACGTCCGGGCTGGATCCAAAGAAATCTCTCATTTGTGATATGCCTACAATTCCACTGTTAGAGATTCATTCCTTTTGCCAAACTTTGTCCCCTTGTAATATATAAACAATCCTGAGAAATGGGTGACATAAAGCTCTAATGTGATTGACTTGGTCAGATCCTTTCCTGAGAACAGTTTTGGTAAGAAAAAAAGAAAGAAGGAAAGAAAATAGAGTAACTGGAGCAGCTCCTGCCTATAATGAGCTGGAGAGGTCACAGTAAGAGAGAGAAAACAAGATTTAGAAAAAGGGATACCTGGTAAGGGGAGGGGTGATGAAGATAAGTTTTGATTGCTTTGTAATATTGCTTAGAACTGGCTGCCTTTAAATGAATCACTTACAGGACATGGAGGATGGGATCTTTAATTCTTGCAATTTATGGGGACTTGCAAGTAAATGTAACTCACTATTCCCTCAAATTATTTTTGATAGGTAGAATGTGCATGCTATTTAATAGAAATAGCTTTTAAGATTTATGAAGAAAGAATATATTGTTCATGTAATTCACTTTGTGATGCATTTTCTATTGAAAGATTGAAGACAGATACATTTTGGAGGAGCAAATACAAGTACTAAAGGCTAATTTAGAAAAAGAGAAAAAGAAGACAGAAAGGTACTGGTAATAATGAAGCATAATTGTTCATTTGTAGCTAATACAACATTTAACCATCTATAAATCTATTACAGATTTAAGAAAGAATCAGAACAGATAAACAAAAACTGGGAAAAGAAATTCTATATTCTCAGAAATAGGTATGTGGTGATATGTATAAATTCTATTTATAAAAATGTGACTAATCATCTTTTAAAAAGTGACTAATGTACATTTTTCTGTGCATATTAATATAAAATACCAGCATACACCTTTAAAAAGAAATGCAAAATTTGGCTTAAATAGACGAGTTGTCAAAGTCACTTCAAAGAAAAAATAATTCAATATTCTATTACATTCCCTATCTCCATATTTCAATTTTAAAGGATCAACAGGATAGACAGCCTCTTCTTGATATCTGGTTTAATCAGACCTACCTAGTCATCTTCCCTCATAGGGCTATTAAAAGAGTTTCCTGTTTATTTGCACATGATAATATTTAACTGGTCTAGATCTTCTTTATAAAATTGTTTTATATACTGTATCCTCTATTCTTTTACAGACAAAACAGCACCGATTCCTTAATTCTCAGATCTCTTCTTCACTCACATAATCATTTTAATTTATCTTCCCTATGTCACCTTTGTCTTTTTAAAAGTGGAGTAAGTGACTACTGTAAAATTCTGGAAAGGCTAAAAGCAACACCAAGTAGAGAAAATGCCTACTTTTTTCCCCTTGTCCTAACATGTTAATTTAAAACATCTATATTCTATTCTCTTGTTTCTGGCCATAATGTCGCCCAGATGCTCTTCTCTTTATCACATGCTGGAAGTTCCTTTGCAAGATTTTCTCACAGTCAAGGAGCATCCAAGGCAGGATGGATTCAGTGTTGGTCTGATGTCAGAGGTCAAGCATGAGACTCATACAGGACTTCGTAGGATGATAATGCCCTACATTTGCACAGCACCTCATAAGCTTACACTATTATTGTGAGTGTGTATGAGAGAGAGGGAGAAAAAAGAAATCCTATATGTTGCTGCATACATCACCCTCAAATGGTCTCAGGTGGTACACTGAGAATCCACATGCTAGCCGGAATACCACCAGGTGGTGAGAGAAAGATCTTGTGGTAACATGCACTCCTGCTTGTGTTTCACGTCTGTGCTGATAATGCTCTGTGCTCTGAAAAATGTGCATATTAATACCTGCCCTAACTACCTCATACAGTTATTCTAAGGATAGAATATAAATACAGGTGAGAAACAAGAGACTGAGACTGAGACTGGCTTAAATACGCACTTCATTTCCCCAAACATGGATTTTGGACTATTTCTGAAACTGAGTAGACTCTCTTTCCCTTACTTATTTCTGTGGGGTTCACTTTGGTGGTTTTTTTTTTTTTTTTTTTTAAGATTTTATTTATTTGAGAGAGAGAGGGAGAATGAGTGGAGGGCGCAGAGAGAGAGGGACAAGCAGACCTCCCACCGGGAGGCCGGTCGTGGGATTCCGTGTGGGGCTTGGTCCGAGGACCCAGAGATCACGACCTGAGCCACTTAACCGACTGAGCCACCGACTGAACCACCCAGGCGCGCCTGTGGGCTTCACTTTGATCCTTAATATTTATGCTGTGTCTATCCCAATGGGATTCATCCCATATTTCAATGACCATTTACAAGAATGTCTCAGTTTTACTTCAAGTTGATTTGCTGTTAATCAAGATGGTCTACGTCATTTCATCATTTTGATCTTTGCAGACTTTATGTTGCTATCTAAACATTTGGAATAGCAACGTATGATTACATATTTTCTATATGTTTTCTCACTTAACCGACTAACTGGGACATAATGTTGGGACAAAACGCATTGTCTCTCTCATGTGGTTGCATCACCAAGTGTTCATTCAAGGTAATATATAACATAAAGAGTGTGTATATCCAGGGTACTGCCTCATGGTGGGGGATGGAGATTGACAGTACAGTCGCAGATTTGTATCGCTAAAATGGTCATTTCATTTCATTGTAACAGATCTTAGATCAGGCGCCATCATTTTGTTTTGTAGAGGAAAAACTTCACCTTGGCCAGGTAACGTAACAGTCGAATCCAACAATTTCTCAGACAAGTCATGATGTATAGTCAGCCCCGGTCCAATTCAGAGCTTCCACCTCCAAGCTCCTTTTCTGTCTCTGCTGAGTTGGCTCTATTTCCAGGAAGCTGGACCTTAAGCGGGGCCGGCCAGGGCAGGAGCTAGTCTTTCCTCTTAGTGTGGCATGACGCCGTCATGGTCGCGTCTCTCCGCCCAAACGGTGTGCAGGTGTGGCACTTGGGCGCAGGACTAGATCCCCACCCGCCCGGTGCCGCAGTGATGCCGCCGTTGAGTGTCCCACCTCAGCCCGACACCCATCTGAGCCATCCCTCGGTCCCGCCTGCTGAGCTCCTGGGGCCGGCCGGACCCACTGCGCGCATCACTCCGGCCAGGGCGCAGAGAACTTACACGCACGCTGTTCCCACAGGGCGGTGAGTGCGCGCAGCAAACGGGGCTACGTCCGCACCCTTTCCCTCCCTCCTCCTCTCTCCGCATGCGCAGTCCCTCCCAGGGAGATTGCCAACCAGCGGAGCCGGAGACGCGACGTGCCCGCGCAGGCGCACTGTGCTCTCAATCGCCTCCCTCTTCCTCTCACTGTTCGAACCCCCCTTGTTCTTGGACTTGGGGGACAGGGAGAGTTAGATAAACAGAAACCCTGCGCCGCCCCTTCTTTCCTTTTCTCTCCCCGCTTCCCCCCCTTCTTAGGCTTCTGGCTTGCGTCGCCTGTCACAGGAGTCCTAGGACCTTTCCCGGTACACCTGCCCTCCCCGGTCCCGTTCGTTTCACCCCTGACAGGTTTAGACTCTTGTATCTTTGTTCTCAGCCCTTGTCAGGGTGTAGTGTGGGGGGAAAGGACGATTCGGCACTTGGCAGTTTGTTGTCGCTCATTGCCACCTGAGTATACCCACAACACGTTCATTGTCTGTGAAATTCAAGATTCACAAGAAATGCCAATGCCAAATCAGAGTAAATCTGGAGTCTTGGGCACTCGGTGGTTTTTCTGAGTCTTGTGCCTTCCTCTAAATTCAGCTGTCTGGAGTCTTCTCAAAAGCTAGGCCCTGGGCCGGTGAGGGGATGGTGTGGGGTTGGCTCCTGAAGTTCAGAGTGTTCAGCTGATGGTGATCCAAAACGCAGTTCCCAGGCTGGGAAGTGAGGGGAATTGGAATCAAAAGCCAAGCAGACATGGATGTTGATGGTAGCTTTATTTGTAACTACCCAAGCTCGGAAGCAACCAAGAGGTCTTTTAGGGGTGAATGGATACATTGTGCTATGTCCAGACCTAAAAAGAAATGAGCTGTCAGGCCATGACAAGACATAGAGGAACCTTAAACGTATATTACGAGGTGAAAGAAGCCAGTCTGAAAAGGCCGTGGTCCTATATGACATGCTGGAAAAGGGAAAACCATGGAGACAGCAGAAGAATCAGTGGTTGCCAAGGGCTGGGGGTAGGGAGAGATGAGTCGGTGGAGCACAGAGGATTTTGAGGGCAGTGACACTACTCTGCATGATACTACAAAGAAAGTACATGCCATTACACATTTGTTAAAACCCATAAAATGTACGACACCAAGACTGAACCCTAATGTCAACTATGGATTTTGAGCCATAATGATGTGTCAGTGTAGATTCATTGATTGTAACTAATGTACCACTCTGTTGGTTGTTAACAGTCTGGGAGGCCGTCCATGTGGGGGGGGGGGGCAGGAAGTATATGGGAAATCTCTGTACCTTGTTCTCCATTTGCTGTGAACCTAAAACTGCTCTAAAAAATTAAGTGTGTTTAAAAAATGAAAAGGAAAAAGAAAAAAGCTAAGCAGACAACCAAATGAAGGTGTCAGTCTGAAGATGCTGTTCAGAGAAGTAGGATCCACAGTGAGTAGTAACTGGGGGCTCTGGGACAGAGGAGATGGTTTAATGTGGAGGTCCGTGGTACGTGGTAGAGCGTGGAGGGAGGTCCACAATCCCTGAAGGCTGCAGCGATCCTTTTTCCCCCTGATTCTTGCAGTTTCCAAGGCTGAGTGTGGGGAACAGGCTATTATGATCACCAAACGACACTCAGAACTGAATTTTCCAATGTCCTTTTTTAGCTGAGGGGAGTGTACTTCATTCTTGGAGTATATTTATCCATTCCTAAATATCTCAACCGGAAGTCCTCGCCGCAGTTTAGCCAGCTTACTGCCCAAAAGATACACTTTGTTATTTGGAAATAGATATTTTCTCAAGCAATCATCTTCATCTGGTAAAGTTATGTTATATGAAAAATCCAGTGTCCTTTTTGCTAAAATATGTGCAACAAAGGATTAATCTCAAAGATGCCTGCCATGAAATTGTTAAACTGAATGAAATTAGCAGTTACTAATTGTGTGTTATTGTGTTATGTGTGTGTTGAATGTATACGATTAATGTTTTAGTTTACTAGATAGTGCCCGAGACAATACTAATCGTTTCACAGGCATCCAATCCTTATTGAAACTGTAGGTGGTAGTTAAAAATAGTAACTCCAGGGTGCCTGGGTGGCCCAGTCGTTAAGCTGACTCTTGATTTCAGCTTAGGTCATGATCTTGGGGTGGTGAGATCAAGCCCTGCATCAGGCTCCGGGCTGAGGGTGGAGCCTGTTTGAGGATTCTCTCTCCCTCTGCCCCTCCCCCACCATGCTTGCACGAGCTCTCACGCTCTCCCCCTCTAAAAAAATATTAACTCCACTTCTCTTATGAGAAAACTGAAGTTCAAAGAAGCTGAGTAATTTATCAGAATTCATACAGCTAAAGAGTGACAGATCTCAGTCATGGACACAGGTCTTTCTAACCCTTAAAAACATGTTACTCTTAGGGCGCCTGCGTGGCTCAGTTGTTTGGGCGACTGCCTTCGGCTCAGGTCATGATCCTGGAGTCCCTGGATGGAGTCCCGCATCGGGCTTCCTGCTCTGCAGGGAGTCTGCTTCTCCCTCTGACCCTCCCCCCTCTCATATGCTCTCTCTCATTCTCTCTCTCTCAAATAAATAAATAAAATCTTAAAAAAAAAATGTTACTCTTAGTTTCTTTTTCTGTACTAAAATTTTTTTTTGGTTCAACATTTAAT